CAGGGATGACGTGGGCCACTCCGACCATTTGTTTGGGAAGTGATAAGGTTGGCTGACGTCAAAAAGATAAAAGACGAATCCATTCCCACCGCACAAAACTCAATTATTGAATCCACTAATTGATTAGTTGTTTTAGGCCCCAACTAATCAATTTGGGCAATGTTGGTAACTCTTGTGTTTGGTAGGAAAGTAATGGAAGGAAAAGAAAAGAAAGGAACGGAGGGTGATGGAATTTTGTGTTTGGGGTGAAATATGAGAAAGAAAAGAAAGGAAACAGAAAGAAACGGAGGGATTCAACAAAGGTTCAGATTAATTTTTGTTATTTTCCCAAAATTGGGAAGAAACGGAAGGAAAGGGCAACAAAATTTTGTAATTACCAACATTGCCCAAATTGATTAGTTGTTTTAGGCCCCAAAAAAAAAAAAAAAACACAAAACCCATACACAAGAGTTAGCAGTTGCAGAGAGAGAGGGGGAGAAGACAGCAGCTGAAGCTTGCGAACGGCGGACGGCGAACCTGAACTGAAACAGCGATGGAAACTGAAAGATATGGGTTTTGATTTTTTGAACAATATGAAATGATATGCCGATATGGGTTTTGAACTTTTGATTCTTGGAAACTGGAAGATATTGGTTTTGATTTTTTAGTGTTGAGAACAATATGGGTCTTGTAGTGGCAGGGAGAGAGAGAGAGAGGGGAGGAGAGGGCAAGTTCAGATTTGAGAACGAGATTAGAAATGGAGGCTGAAATGATTTGCCCTAATCTTTAATCTCTTTTTTTTTTTCTTTTTTTTCTTTTTTTTATGTCTTTTCTTTTGGCCCATCATGGCCTGGTATAAGAGGAGACAGTATATATAAATTATATATATATAATAGAGATGGAGCCGAGATTTGCCCTAAATTTGTTTTTCTATATATATATATATATATATATATAAATATAATAAGGGTATTTTCTTTCTGTTTTTTTGTCAAACATAATTATTATCCTTCGTTAACCAACTAAACACAACAAAAGATTAAAATTATCCTTTTTTTTTCTTTTCTTCAAATTTACCGTACCAAACATAACCTAAGAGACCTTGGGGGACCCGAAATGGAATGTATCTCTAGATTGGAATTGTTACGAATTCCCTGTATTCACAATGATGCCACAATGTACATGTGTGAATGGGTCGAATCAAAAGTTTTGGTGAACAGCAATGCCTTTGTTTTTTTGCCCAACAACACATTTGTTTGATTTAATCTCACCCCTCTATTTGGCCTTTATGATCAACCAACGTCACCAAATTCTACGATTTTATTTTTATTTTTATTTTATTTTATTTATTTATTTATTTATCTTATCTAAAGGTTCATCCTAAGGCGTCATTTGGATGGGAGGATTTGGGAATAGGAAAAGAAATGATAACTAATGTTGTATTTGAATGGAAGGGTTTTAGAAGAAAAAAAAGGTATGGAAGGAATAGATATCCAAAAATATAAGACGAAAAGATTTAGAGAGAAAAGAAAGTGAGTTAGAAATACTTTTATAATGCCAAAATTAGCTTCTAAAATTATAACAATAAACTATCTTAAAAATTATAAATAGATGATATGATAATAATTCAATTGCTATCATTTTTTCTCTTTTCTTTCTTATATTTTAACCAAACAACAATATTAACATTTCTTTTCTTTTTCCTTTTTTTTTTCCCCCTCTTTTATCCATCCAAATATGAATACAAATTATTGCTATCACTTTGTTTCCTTTCTTTTCTCTCGTCACTAATATTATTTTTTCCTTTATTTACTTTCCTAAGTATACAAAAGAAATTTTGATGATTGAAAAATTATTAATAATATTTAGGCACTAATATTTTCAATGAGTGATACGCTACATATGACAGATGTTCAAGAATGATTTTAATGAAGTAAATTGGTGTAATGGATGGGTGCCTACCCATTTATTTATACTCAATTATTTTTTCATTCGAATTAGATGTGAGATAAATGATCTTGTTACAATTGCCTATAATCACGTTCATGATCACATCAATGATGAAGCAATACTCAGGTTGCACTAATAAAAGTTTGATGCATTCAAGATTGACCAAAGACCTCAAGAGTCATGAATAGGGTTTCTACCTTTGCTCCTTAGTCCTTGAATTAATACTAAATTTCATTTTGGTGTGTGATATATATATATATATATATATATATATATATATATATATATATATAGTTTTTTCATAAGAGTATCAAACTGGAAGTAATTCTTTTTCCCGTTAAATTGGAAATAAATTAATGTATTCCATCTCATTGCACTTTTTGATGGCTTATTATTTATTCGATTCATTTTTTCTTGCTTTCAAGAACATTAGATTTATTTATTCTCTCGTTCTTTAATGGATGAAATTTTTATTAGAGAGCAATATCAATATAGCAAGCTTATTAACAAAATTATCGATATTGCAATATTATGGTCTCAATTTGCGGAGATTGTCAATTCTAATATAAAATCTAAATTTATAATTGATACCTTGACTTACTATAGCAATATCATGATCTATTCTTAATTTTCAGGGACTTCCCCATCTACCAACCCAAAAAAAAGTGGGTTATTTATGATTATGTTTTACTTACACTAGCTCAACACACACACTCTTTTGTCCTAAGTACTCTTGTTTGGACCTTACAAGCTCTCATAACGTACCAAATACATATTACCTCTGTCCCATATTAAAAGTCCACCTCGAAAACTAATGGAGGAAGTATTATATAATATATATCAACAATATTCAAGTATACACAAAAGATAAAAGCTTGTTAATATCTTCCATCACTACTGAGACTATTGGAAGAAAACAGGCCTAATACATTATTTATGCTTTGGAGCTGTGAAATTTAACTTTGGCGCAAAAGAAAGAACGAGCGTGAAGGTGATAAGGTTAGGCAAAATTGTCAACATGACTCCAACTCAACATAAAATAAGTAATTTTTTTTAAAATAAATAGATAAAATGATTTTAAAAATAAATAGATAAAATGAGTGAGTTTGAGTTGATCTTTAATGAATTTAGATTTTAAAATAAGTTGGAGATACTCTATGAGTTCTAACCCACTGCCTTTGTTTCCACTTACTATATAAATCACTCCCTCCCTATTTCAAACCCACTACCTTTCTTTCCATTTATCAAAACAGCAAAATTCTTTACTAGCCTCTTTTCACCAAAATCTGTGGCAAGCGAATTTAGTATGAAAAAAAAATTTCTTCGTCCTCACTATCCTCGCTCATTTTTTTCTCTCAAATAATTGGTAACTCGTTTTTAGATATTTTAATCTTTATTGATAACTTGTTTTATTATTTTATTTGTAAATAATTCGAAACACCTTGATCCATATAGATATAAATTGGTAAATTATTTTATTATTTTATTTATAAATGATTTGAAACATCATGACCCTCTTGTACGTTTTTAATAATAGCATAGAGGAAAAGTAAAATAGTTAATTTATAATCTTAATTAAATTTTTTTTCACAAAATTATCAAAAAACTTAAAGCGTATAAAATTTTTATAAGATAAATTTTACCTACATGTAATGTAGTGTTAATTTTTTTTTCCTTTTTTTATGAATAAAAAACGTAAATATATTCTATGTATTATATAAAGAATTTAACACTGAATTGATGACCATATGCTTTCTCGGTGATTTTTTTTTTTTTTCTTTAAATTTTTTTTTTTTTTTTGGGTCATCCTTCTCGGTAATCAAGTGGAGTATGTATAAGTGAAAATAAGAATATGAAAAATAATCATTTCAATTAAGAAATGCAATAAAACAGTCTACAAATAGCAAAGCAAAACAAAACCAAATGTTTATAGATTGAGTTTTCCAATCTTTGCATGGTAAATTGGTAAAAAGAAAAACAAGTGCCAAATGCAAAACAACGATACAAGAATGATCCAACTGAGAATATAACTTCTTTGCATGGTAAATTGGTAATTAGAGTTTATTTCATTAAAATTTATCTTAAATACTACTGGATCAACGCAAATGTTGCATTGAAATAGATAAAAGCAAAGGTTGAGAAAGGGAGCTAAAGAGTTACATTAATTAAAATGAGAAAGTATCCCTTGATCCACATATACAAAAAATATATTTTGACATATATATATATATATATATATATATATATATAATTGGAGAAAAATTCCGATTTAGTAAAAAAATGGCAAGATGAAAAGAGAGGGTTATGAGTTATATTCCGACTTTTTGATTTTTTCTTTTTTACGATGAGACAAAACTAAGGCCTAAAATTATCTTAATTAAGATTATTTTTCCCACATATTGAATCCTTTTCATATTTTAATTGGTAAATAAATATTCTTAATATTTTAAAATTCAACTATTTAGAGGATTTATTAATTAGTTTTTTTTTTTATATAAATTTTAGTGAGGAAGTAATATATTTATTTTTTTGATAAGTAAATATCCTAATAATTTTATTTTCAACTAATTATAAAATCTACTATTTAAATAGATCATTCCAAAATTTTGAGGGCATCACCATCAACACCAAAGTACATTTGTTCATTAATACAAAGGCCATTATTATTGTTCTAATTTTTATTTTTTTTAAGTACAGGACATTAATTCATGAAAAAGAAATAAATAAATAAGCTAATTACATACCAACGAAAATTATATATAGAGAGAGTTCTTACCATGAGCTAAAAAACTACTTAGACAAGCTTTTATGTATATTGATAATAAAGTTGTCATTAGTAACTGATTAAATATCAGGAAATTGGCCATTGATACAATTAAAAATAAAAGTATCCTCTCACAAATGTTAGAAAGAAAAGAAAAGAAAAGAAAATAGATTTCATCTAATAAGAGAAGATTACTGCCAAAATCAGAATACAAATATATATCACCTTCCATGATGCCAAGTTCAATTTTTCTCAAAGTGATAAATTCAGAAATGGTAGCCCAAATCGAGGGCAATAAATATAATCATACCCAAATAAAATAGAATAAATAAATTATGCAAACTTAGAAGGTCTCATTAACGTACAGACAATTTGACATAACTACGAGTTCTAAGTGAAGATTCATACATTATCAAATTCAACCAAATCACTCTCCAAATCCACATGCAACATGTCAATCAAAGGCTAATAAGATCAAATATAAACAAAATATATACTCATATATATATATATATATATAGAATCCGAATACAGCTCTTCTCATTCACCTGTAAGCATCTTCACCACAATAGAAATATATCTGACGGTCTGAGCTTTGAATTTCTTGAAGAAACTGCAAAACCCTTCCAATGATGTGTCCGCCAAAGGCAACAGTCTCCTTGCGCGTGCAGTTCCCATACCTCAAGGAAAAATAAATGAATGATGCCCTAACCTAATGCCCCTAGGCTGAAAAGCTAAATGTCAATCCAACTAGTATTATCTACTAACAATGATGTAAAAATTTATTCTTTAATCTTTTAATCGTGTTCATATTTTCTTTATTACCATTGATGAGAGATTAAAAGAAAAAGGGAAGTCGATTTACTTTATTTTCTTTTGGATTTAAATAGCTAGAATATATATAGTGGGTGTTTCTAAAAATCAAGTAAAAATATCAAAATATGTGAGAGAGAATGATGAATATGGCGGGTGGTAGAGAGTGAGAGTATTATCCGTTGGATCAAAGAAAATCAATTGGGTCAAGAACGTGAAGTTTGATATTTTTATTAATTGAGAGGAGGTATTTTTAAAATTTTTACAAAATAAGATGAGGCATTTTCAAAATTTTAACAAAAAAATATAAGTAATAATACAAATAAAAAAATTCAGGCTTTGATAGTGTAGACTATATATATAGGTAGAGTAATTTCTCTTTATTATTTGGTTGTCAATAAAATAAAAGATAAGTGTGTAAGATGAAATTGAAAAAAAAGTGCCGTTCAATTCTTGTGGACATGTGTTGTTGAAAAGCCTTGTTTATTGTATATAATGCATCTAAAAGGAAACTATGTTGATTAATTGAATTAGGAAACCACGATTTAATAAGTAGGAGTATATTTTATATAAATATTAAAATTATAAAAATGTATATAGAAATTATTATATATATATATATCAAGTGTCTAGTAATATAGTAACAGAAGATACTATTTTTATTATTATTGTTAACATTATTAGACAAACCAGATCAATGGGGAAAAGGGCAAAAAAAAAAAACAATAACAAGCAATTAACAATGGAGATATTTACCTGTAAGATACGACAACTCTTCCTCAAAATTACCGTGGTTTGAAAAGAGGAGAGAAAACAGATTTGAGAAAACAGACTTGTATAAAAATTAAGTTAATTTAACGTGAACCTTTACAAAAATCAAAGTACAATTTTATCATGGAAACATTTTTTATAGTCCAATAAATTATATGTCTAATTTAGTCTTTGTATTATATTGTATTTTAAGAAGAAAGCATAAATTCTTCTTCTAAAAAGAGAGTGCATATAAAAAAGAAGAAGGGGGAGAGAAATCTCCCTAGCTTTTATTATTGATATTGATGAAGAATGGGTAGTTATGAGAAATCTCCCTAGCTTTTATTATTAATAATTTTTTACTATTTTTACCAAAAAAAAATATTAACATAAAATCACTAACTCAATAACTTTAACAGGCCTAATACATTATTTATACATCACTATTGAGGCTATTGGAAGAAAACAGGCCTAATACATTATTTATGCTTTTGATACGTCAAATTTAACTTTGGCACAAAAGAAAGAATCATCATCAAGATGATAAAGCTGGACAAGAGTGTCAACATAACTCTAACTCAACATAAAATAAGTAATTTTTTTTTAAAAAAAATAATAAATATATAAAATAAGTAAATTTGAGTTGATTTTTAAATGTCTAAAATAAACTCTGGGACCCACACGGCATGGTAAACAGTGTACAAAAACTAAATAATTACGAAAAATTGAAAAAAATACCGAAAATTACGAAACGTCACATTTGCCTTTGCCAATGCACTCAGAAGGTTCAAAAGACTCAAAATTCATTATAGGCACACATCCTACCTCACCCGGAGCCAAAATCGGGCATATAGGTAAAAGGGTAATTTTGCATTAAAAAAAATTAGGATGTCAGATTAGAAATATGATCCCACCATTCTTCTCAAAATGTCCAAAAAAAAAAACATATAATTGACCTATTCACGGGTCTAGTCTGGGTATAGGACCCACTTATCAAAAAAAAAACATATAATTGGCTTATTCACGGGCTAGTCTGGGTTTAGGACCCACTTTTACCATTATAGGGGTAAAATGATTATTTTGGAAAAATTTAATCATCTGATCATTCATTAGCCCATGCCATGGTGGTCAGAGCATCGAATTCCTTCAAAATAAATGACTTGATCATGATAATTCGATAGTTAAATTTTTTATGGTCAAATGGGCCCTACCTAGTCTGGGTTTATGACCCACTTGTCCAAAAAAACAAACATATAATTGGCCTATTCACGGGTCTAGTCTAGGTTTAGGACCCATTTTTACCACTATAGGGGTAAAATGATTATTTTGAAAAACTTGGACCGTCTGATCATTCATTAGCCCATGCCACGGTGTTCAGAGCACCGAATTCCTTCAAAATAGATGACTTGATCATGAAAATTCGATAGTTAAATTTTTTATGGTCAAATGGGCCCCTACTTCCACAGCGCCACACAGGCAGGACATGTCTCCCACAGTAAAATGGTTGTTTTAGGAAACTCAAACCTTTGATCATTCAGAAAACCACGCTACAGTGTTAAGAACACCCAAATCCTTCAAAATAGATGACCTGATCATGAAAATTTGATAGTCGAATTTTCGACGGTTAGATGGGCCTTACCTCAACGCTGCCACCCAAGCAAGACATGCCTCCTATAGTCAAAGTTGGGTTCAAGAAAGTCAATTTTCTAAGTTTCAAAGTTTTCAAAACTTACTTAGGCACCTTGAGTATTACAAAAAAGCTTTCCAAATGTGCATTCATGCTTATTTTGTTAAGTTCTAAGTTACATTAGACATATATATTGACTATGAATCAAGAAAACTTTTTCTAGAACCTTCATAAAGTATTATGGAGTCTAGATTGAAGTCTAAAATACTTTGTTCGATCAAAGCTAATTATAGCATCAATCACAAAAAGTTAGAAGTTCATCGAAAACTTTGTGTGATGTTTTTGAATTTCACCATTTCCCATTTTTCCGGAGTTTTTGTTGTTGGAAGGACATTTTCGTCTTTTGCCGTTTTAAGAACCGGACACTGTAGACTGTGCCGGTTGTGTCAGAGAGTTGTTTAGGGCATTTCATAGAGTCCAGGACTCTTTAAAATGCAAGGGTGACCATTTTCACATTTTTTAGTTTTTCGGGTCGGATGGCTCCGTATGGGACCCGCTACCGGAACTGTTGCTTACGGGATTTTTGTTTGGGTCAATTTGCATCATATCAATTTTATTAAATGTATTTTATGTGGTTGCAAATTAATATGTACATGTGTGTAGTGTAAATTAAAGATAAAAGAAAAAATAATAATAATAATAATAAATAAATAAATCTAAAAGGAGGTGGGACCCACCATTAGGCCATTTAAGGCCTTGAGACCACCAGTCTCCCATTTCTCTCCTCTCTCCCGCTGGATGCTCTCTTCCTTCTCTTTCTTGAATTTTTCTTTTTCTTTGAGCTTTAATTTTGCTCCTCCATTTTTCGGCCGATTGGTCGAGATTCCGGTCTTGGTTCCTTGACGGAAAATGTTTCTCTCGTCGTTCTCTATCACATAGTCAAAGGATTTAATTTTCTGAGGAGCGGTGATTATTTTATGAATTTTTGAAGTTTTTGTATTTAAGGCTTCGGAGGGGGTTTTTAGCCACTTGAAGTCAGATTCCGGAGCTGACCCTTTAGAATAGTAAAATCTCCTCGTCAACCAGCGTTGACTTTTGTTGACCGGCATTGACCGCGTTGACCGGCGTTGACTTTTCCGACCGAGAATATATTTTGGTTACTTTTGAGATAGGTGTGCTCTAATTCACAATTTCTTAAGTTCTATGTGAATTTTCCTTCTTAAATTGACTATAAGCATGTTTAATTTCACTTATTTTGACTATGTGGTTGTGGTTGATTATATGTAAAGTGGTGGACGTATGCTATGTGATAATTGAGTTGTGAATTTAGTTACATCCTTGTAGTGAAGAAGCATGCTTAGAAATGACAAGTTGTTTACTTTATGTATTTCAATTGCCATGGACATTTGATGTCATAATCGTAGAAATAAATATTTAAACTATTCTTTCACAAGTTGTGATTATAATATGGGTAAAATGTATGGAATATAGTTGTTAAATTTGGCATTTGGAATCATGAAGCATTTATGCATTCATTGGGAAAGAAAAAGGGGAAAAGTATATATTTTTTTAAAAAAAAACAATAAAATTGTTTTGGGGAAAAGTTTTTGAAAATTGTTTGTGAAAACCCAGACGCCTAGGAAGAACCTAGTGGTCCGTGGTGTTAGTGTGGTCTAAAGAGGGGACTAGGGAGAGACCCTAGTGTGGTTGAGCTAACCAGGCCGGATGCGACGCCTTAGAGGTGCCTTGTGGTTGTGGATGGTTAGCCAATCCCCCTTTCGTGACGCCTTGGAGGTGCCTTAGGTCGGATTACACTAACGGTTTGAAAGTTGAAACGGTATGGTTTCGGAAACGGGGAGTGACATTGCATGGCATGGCACATCATTGGCATACGTGGTGCATTTGGTAATTGGTTGAGATATGTATGCTTCTTGATGATACAGTGGTTTTACTTGACTCCCAAGATATGATCCCATTTTCTTACTTTCTATTCTCTATGTGGATTCACGGGGTCATAAGAAGTGTGTCTTAGACACTTCCTACTAAGCGTTTAGTTCACCCCATCATTTTAACATTTTTCAGGTTATAGGAAGGAAGTGGCAGACGACGTTTCTCCACAGGTTTTGATGGGTTAGTAGACTCCTTGACATATTTTGTAACTATGGTCTCATTTTATTATTATTTTTTATTATTTATAAACTGGGATGACACGTATATTTTGTATTGATATAGGAAAGAACGATAACATTTTTAGTTGACATCGGGTTCGAGTAAGGACCCGATTAGCGATTCGGACCCTCGGGTTCGGGTCGTTACAGTTTGAATAGGATTGATAGATCGAAGCGACATAAGTATCGATCGAATGAAGCTAAGGAACATCGATCGAACTTTCTATTACATCGGTCAATTGAAGCTTCAAGAATATAGATCGACCGGACATTTTAAAACTAAAAAATTATATACTTAAATGTATTTGCTTGGTGATTAGTATTGATTTTACATAACAACTATAGAGTATTTTTATGAAGATTTGACACAGAAATATTTTTTATAATATATTTTCTTTGTCTTCAAGTATTTAACTTGGAAAACAAGTTATTGACTTAGAGAACAAGTTTAATTACTTGAGAATTAAGTCTATAGAAGTGTGGAACAAGTTCCCTTTACATTAGGTCTAACATAAATCCTGGTATGCTCTCCATATATTCAGCCCTAAAATGTTTATACTTACACATCGAATCACTGTTTGTTTATCCACGAGTTATTATGTGTGAGAGCTCATCCTGTGAGATTGAGGGCGCACACATAGATTTTCATATCTTGTTTTTTTTCATTATTCATACATATCATTATGCATTAGATATGGTGATTACAATGTAATTATTGTGTTGATACAATTACATGCTTATAACGTCAATATCAATACAAGAGCTAAGTGCTGAAATCCAAACCAATAAACAATTTGAAGGTGGACACATTGGTGTGGAAAATATTCCAAGTTGAGTCAATAGAATCATATAACTGTTAGATGGATCGGAGGACAACTGAAGAGATTTTCTAAAGTGCACTGAAGAAAGACAAATAGATTGAAACTAAGCATGGAGTAAATTGATTAGTCATGAAACAGATATTAAGGATTTGTTGTCTTGTTGAGTCTGGAGGTTAACTATTGATTATAGGAACTAGACTAATTGTAACCTCATTTTTCATAGTGATTTTTTGGTCCAGCTAAATCTCGTGATATTTTTATCTACGAGTGGAGGTAAGTTTTTCCACATAATATCTCTATACTCTATTTACTTTTGATGTACTATATATTGATTTATATTTATGCTTAAACTGATTATATGCTTCTATCTTGATTATCATATTGGAATCAATTTCCATGAATATTTGTGTTAAAGCAATTAATTAGGTTAATTAGCCAAAGTGTTCGTAAATTTATTTTGAATTTATTTCAAGTTGCTTGTTTATTTATTTAGGGTCTTGAATATTTCAAATTGATAATCGAAAAAATCAAGTTTGAAATTGGTAATAAAAGTCCATTGATAAAAATTCACCAATTATTTTTTTATATATTGTGCATTTAATTGCTTAATTATTCACCCACACCCCCTATAGGACTAGTGATTTTAAGGATCCTAATTCATTGCTTCCTTGATTGTGACTATTGACGGTCTCAGTTAATACCTCTTTAATTCTACTCAGAGTTTACTAATAAAATCACATTCAATTTATATATATAACCTTTAAAAGTTGAATCCATATATCTGTTATTCCCTTCCACCAATGAGACTCCATTGCGATTGCTACCTTGCCACCGCCTCTCCCTGTTGTCGCCTTTTCTCTCCTTGATCGTCACTAAAGCTCTTGGGTCGTCTGATAGCTCACCCACTAGAAGAAATACACGTGGATAGACCGAAGAGAAAATAAAAATCAAAACTTACAAAAGGGAAAGAAAAATTGATATTTAAAGTTACTCTTCTTCCTTCTCTCTTACGAAGGAATTCCATTTCAATGCCGTTTGAAAATACTGGAAAAATCTAGTGTGTGTGTGTATAGTAGATAGATCTTGTTTGGAGACAGAGGCGGAACTATTCATGGGCTAACCTGAGCTATAGCCCAGGTCCCAAAAAAATATTAATCTTTGTGTGTCTGAGCACTGAGGCATACATCCCTCTAACAGAGGCAAGGGTTTGAAGACTGAAACCTTAAATCTCATGATCAGGTGGCTCCAGCGGCGACCATATGTACGGTGGAAACTACTCTTCCTCTTCATATTCAATTCTTCATCTCAACACGCGGTGGAAACTCCATCATAGGTGATTAAAAATTATAGGTGATTTTTAATTTTCATCATTGCTGAATTGACCCAGATGCTTGTTAATGAAAATATGTTCCTTTTGTATTGTATCCTGATTTTTTATTTTTTTATTCTATATCCATTTTTAATCAATGTGTTGGTTGATGAAAAACATCTGTCATCTATGAAGTGATATGGAGTTCCTGTTCTCATTTCTTCTGATGTGAATGTTCTTCTATATCAATTTTTAATGCTAATTCGATTTTTAGAATCTTATAATTGGCCCTTTAATTTCCAATGATTAATTTAACCCAAATGATAGTACTTGTTCTAATCTAATGGTGTGACTTCTAGTATTAATAGGTTTGAATTCTTTTATAATTATTATTATTTTCCGTGGAATTATCCTCTCGCACCACTTCCCTGGTTTTTTAAGGGCCAAGGTACATGTTAACAAGTTTATATTGTGGCAAAAAGCAAAATGAGAGTTTGTTTTTTGTTCTATTTTTGCTTCATCTCCAATGGAATTTGAAGTTCCCTTGAGATATTCTCTGTAAACCTACTGTGTCTTTCATTTTCTTCATTACCATAAATGAAGAAAATATAAATCTTAGTTTGGTTTTTACCAAAGGGTTCACATGACAATGCACAATTTGCTCACAACGGATGTCACTTTCACAAACAGAGGGTTCCAACATACCAATACGAGCTCCAAAACAGAATTCGTTTACCATCATGCACCAATTCCTGAACAATAATTTGATCACTCTAATCAACAGAACTCACCTTAGTCTCAACAATGCGGCAATTGGGTATATCTTAATCTAATTTTCTATGTCTAGAGGTGGATGGATATTTTGGATTATTAAGATAGAGATATTTTTAGAACTCTACATTTTCTCTCCGTTTTTTTTTTTTATAATTTTTCTATGAGGTTTGCTAGCAATGGTTGAACAATCGCACATTTAATTCAGCGAATGAATAGACTGTTGAGTTTTTCTTTTCTTTTCAACTCCAAGAGATCATTACATGATGAAGTGTGTTTATTCTTGTTAGATATAGACTCATGTCAAATGAGAATATATGTATATTTTAAAATTATGATAAGATCTACTATTTTTTTTTCTTTTTCCTGTTGTCAGCTCCATAGGTGAAAGATAATTAGGCATGCCCTTAATTTTTGTTTGTTGAAGCGTTACAAGGGAGGAATTTTCCACCCTTAAGATGAAAATTTTGTTTTCATTTAATAAATGGAAAGATGATAAATCATAAGCTAGGGCAACTTCTACGAGTACGAGTACCCATCCTAGGACTACAAGCTCTAATGAGCAGCGACAAGAACCTCCTTCAAAAATTCCAAGAGTTGAACAAACGGAGATTGATGATATGTCTTTTATACGAGATCCTGGCTTGCGTCTTCAAATATGGAAACACTCCGTTAATGAACATGATGAGCTTCGACGAAATTATATCTTAAGGGGACCTTATCAACCAAATCTCCTTGTGTTTCCCTCCCCTCAAGATAGAACTCAATCTCATCGATTTCAAAGTAGTTGGTATGAAAAGTTCACTTGGATTGAGTATTCTCCTAAGAAAAATAAAGTATATTGTTTGCCATGTTTTCTCTTTGAAACTAATCCACCATCTCATCGTGCTTTTACTGTCGAGGGGTTTAATAGTTGGAAAAGGGTTAATGATGGATCTAGGTGTGCTCTTTTGCAACATGTGGGAGGTCGTAATTCATTTCACTTGTGTGTCGTAAGAGCTTCAGATGCTTTAATGAATCCTTTGCAACATATTTATAGAGTGTTGAATATATCATCTAGAGATGTGGTGGAAAAAGTTGATTATGCCTCAAGACAACAATTGAAAGTGTTCAGTGGCTTGCATTCCAAACATGTGCATTTAGAGGTCATGATGAATCCATTGAATCTTTGAATCGTGGCAACTTTGTTGAATTAATAAAGCATTCGGCAAAGTTAAATGACAAAGTTGCTGAAGTTGTCTTAAAAAATGCACCAAAAAATGCAAAGTACCTCTCGCCAATGGTTCAAAAAGAGGTTTTACATATTCTTGGCAATAGGGTGAGATGTAAGATTTGTGAAGAAGTTGGGGATGCAAAATTTTGTATTTTGGTTGATGAAACACAAGATTTGTCTAATACGGAGCAAATGGCCATTGTATTGTGATTTGTTAATAAGAATGGTTTAGTTAGAGGATGAATTTTTGGAGTTGTATGCGTTAAAGACACCACTGTCTTAACTATTAAAAAAGAAATATTAGATGCCTTACTCTTTATGATCTCCAAATTGATAACATTCGAAGCCAAGGGTATAATGGAATGAGCAATATATGCGTAGGGCATGGAATGGATTACAAGCGTTGTTTCTTAAAGAATATCCATATGCATATTATGTACACAGCTTTGCTCACCAACTACAACTAGCATTAGTTGCTGCATCCAAATATGTGCAAGATATATGGATGTTCTTTTCAAAGTTGAATTCCATTGTCAATCTTGTCAGTGTTTCTCCTAAGTGTCATAGTGAGTTACAATCAACTCAAGTGATTTTATCCGCTAATAAGTTGGCTACTGATGAACTTGAGAGTAGTAAAGGAGCTAATTAGATTAAGACTTTACAACGAGCAGGTGTCACTCGATGGAGCTCTCATTTTGGTTCTGTTAGTAGCTTGATAGACTTATTTGGTCCATCTCGTGTAATTCTTGAAAATCTTTCAAAGAATGGACCAACTAATTCTATACGTGGGGAAACAAAATATGTTTATCTTACAATGCTATCATTTGAATTTTTATTTATCTTGCATTTGTTGTGTGAGATGATGGGAATTACTGATATACTTTGTCAAGTATTGCAATGAAAAACTCAAGACACTGTAAATGCTATGAACCTTGTTTCAAGTACGAATGCACTCCTTCAAAATTTGAGAGAAAATAGGTGGCATACGTTCTTTCAAAATGTGGAATCATTTTGTAAAGAGCATAAGATTGTAATACCTGATATGAGTACTTCTTATATGGTGGGTACAGATCGTTCTTGTCAACAAAATGATAGTATTGCATTTAATCATCACTATCAAGTAGATATTTTCAATGCTGCTATAGATTTTTAATTGATTGAGTTAGAAATTCTCTAAAAGTACAATGGAACTCCTTATTCTTGGCACAACTTTAGATCCTAAAGATGCTTATAAATCATTTAAAGTTGATGATATTTGCGATCTTGCAGGGAAATTTTATCCTAAGTACTTTCAAGATGAGATGCGTGCTTTGAGAAGCTAGTTGGAGCATTATAAGATTGATGTACTTCATCATCCAAGTTTTACTATGTGGCACCAACGTGGAACTCAAATCACTATGTGGCGCTAAGATTGCACTAGAATTGGTATTTCAAGCCAATTTTGACTATTAATTTATTTTGAATTTTGACTCCTTCGAATCAAAATTGATTGTGGCACCAAGATAACACTAGTCTTAACTATGTGACGCCAAGGTGGTGCTATTGAGAGAGGACCATTTTGCCCATGTGCAGGCTCGAACTTGGCCTGCCAAAATTTCAAAATCCATTCCCCAACCCGAAATCTTGTGGATGCTCTAAAAGCGATGGCGCAGTCAAATTTTCAATCCGATGGTCAGATTTTTCAAAAATGATCATTTTACCCTTGTGCCATTAAAAATGGATTTGGGAGATAAGGCGGACCTGAGATTTAGTCTACCCCATATGTTTTGGGCAATCCCAGAAAAATGGTGTAGTCAGATTTCCTACCTAACATTCGAATTGTCAGTCACATAAAATTATGATTTTGCCACTATGCCCGGGTTTGGTCTCATGTAGGAATGGACTCGTGTTTATGATGAGTTCAGAGGTTTTGGACCCTCCGAGTGTGATGGTGAAGTCGGATTTCCAATCTGACGGTCCAATTGTGAGAAATGATAAAATCACGATTTTGCCATTTCACTAGGATTTGATTATCGGACACCTAGGGTCATTTTGTGAATACGGCTTTAGTGGTGAAGTCGGATATTCATTCAATGGTTGGATTTTCTTGGGTGGTCTCCTGCCGATTTAACCCGAAAAATGGGAGGGATAAAATGGGGTGTCTATAAAGCTAAAGAACACCATTATAAGGACTAAATTGATGTTGGGAGCACTGAATGGGCTCTAATTCCAAATCTAAGACATTGATTTGGTGCTTCCAAATGTAATCAAAGTAAAATTCAGAGCAAATCTATCTAGAAAATTGATCGATTGGTCAACATTATGATGTGCCTAGCCACATGCGTTTACCTTATTAGAGAATCAGATAGAATCCTCTCTTGTGCAATGGATGGTACAGTGCATAGAATGAGGGTGGAGATCGGTAGAAAATCCCCTCCTGTGAATAGTACATCATGTTCCTTCGAGTTCGGGATGTACTTTACAAAAAACCTGGGATATTTACTAAACATTCCAACCTTTTTGTAAGGTCCATCCCAAACTGGACAGAACATGTCCTATTGTTCCACTGGAGATGATTCGGGTCCGGTGCAGATCACCCCTAACGTAATGGATTCCACTTCCTGTGGGAAGATTTTCACCTCCTCATATCACTGAAAAACATTCAGGTTCAAAAATTATACCCAAGAACATAAAAGATATTATGAACAATCAGAAACTTGAGGCCAATTTCATAATGTAACCTTTTCTTTTAATGAAAAGTTATCATTTTAATAAGTGAGGACTACATAGTGTGCACTAGTACAACAATACATAGTGTGCACTAGCACAAATGTACAGCAATAAATCAGTAAGGCCTAAACATCTCTAAACGTTCCCCATTTCAACTTTTCCCTCAAAATCATCACTGCTACTAGTAAGTACTTGTTTCATTTCCACTTTTTTATACCTATACCAAGATGCACACACCAAATAAGCACCAAAGTTCACTATACTTAACCCTGCTAACAACCAATAGAAGTAGTTCAACTTATCTCTGTTCAAATTATTATTAGCCAACCACCCACCACTCACCTTGTTCACCACCTCCACCATCACTGAGCTTGTGTAGTATCCAAAAGCCAAAGAGCACCATGAAATAGCCGTGCCTAGTGATTTCATGCCTGATGAACTCTCTGCATAGAAAAATTCTAGTATCCCCACGAATGTGAACATATCTGCCATCCCAAATATAGCATATTGGAAGCCTAGCCAGAGCACACTTATGGGCAAAGGATCAGCAGTGTCAACCATGTTGTGTTGAATAGCTACAGATTTACGGTGAGTTTCTATGATTGCGCCTACTGCCATAGAAATTGCTGAGAGCACCAGTCCCACCCCAATTCGCTGGAGGTACCGAATCCCAGTTGGAATTCCTGTAATTTTCCTTGCTAGTGGGACAAAAACTCGGTCATATATTGGGATCAGAATGAACATGAATAGTAGGGGAATTACTGGAATGGAGGCACCGGGCACTTGAAAACCAAGGATATTTCTGTCCATGGTAATGCTTTGTTGGATAGTGAAGGTTTGGAGTTGAGCCAAACATGTATTCATGAAGACAGTGCTCAATATTATTGGGAACATCCGAACTAAAATTTTTGTTTCTTCAATCTGTGTCACTGTACACAAGTTCCAGTGTCCAGTAGTATTCGACGTGGATGCATCAAGTTCGCTCCTAACTATTGCTGCGCGATCCAAAAATCTGACAAGTAAATTTTAGGGGTACTGTTAGTGACATATTCATTTATAGTTGGACTTATGAACTTTTAGATGGAATTAGCACCTGAATTGATCAGTTCTTTGAAGAATCTCAGTCCCCATCTCAGCTTCTTTGTCATGAATTTCATGTAACGCCTCCGGTATTGGAAGATTTCGATTTCTAATGGCAGCCACAAATACCTGAATGTAAGAGAGCAAAAAAAAATTTAAGTACCATTATACAATCAGTTACATATCGTTTTATATGATACTATATAGATTTCGAAATGAACTTGTGTATGCTTTGTATACCTGTAGAATACGAACTATAGGGCTTCCCTTGGGCACATTATTGCGATAGAGTGATTTCCCCATGAATAGGAACAGAATTGCCACTAGGACAGCTATGGTACAAACACCAAACGCCCAATCCCAGCCTTGGTTATCACTTATCCAGACTACAAAAGTCACACCAAATATAGCTCCAGTGATGAGGCTAAACAAGAACCAATTGAAGAAGCTCGAAAGCAGAGATGCCTCCTTCGGGTCCCTCTGGTCGAATTGGTCAGCTCCCAAGGATGGCAAAGCTGCTTTCACCCCACCGGTCCCGAGTGCAACTAGATACAGACCAGTGAAGAGGATTGCAGCTTGGCTGCTGTCTGCAGCTTCACATTGATTCATTTTGCTTGGAGCAACACCCTTGCAAGGAATGGGCCTCAGCTCCCGGAAGTGTGCTTGTATTGTTAGGGTTGCATATCCCTGAAAATCCATTGTTAGACACAGTTTCCTCATATGATCATCATTTCTACTGAGAAATCACAACAAATTCTTTTAACATACTAGCCTTAAACGCGATATATGTCATTAACCCTTTCATCAGAAATGTCAAAGAAGTTTCAAGGATTTAGATTAGGACTAATGTGTGGTACTCTTGTATTGTTACTCTATTTTATTTGTAACATGTATTTTTACTTTAGTTTATGTATAATGTATTCTTTATTTAATTCTTTCTTCTATATTTCCAAGCTACTATAATCCATGTGATTATTAATTCTTGGAAGCGTTGAACTTTGGAAGAACACCTAACGAACCTGCATGGTAGGTAAAGGGCATATAATGTTTATTGATTAATTATGTTTAGGTTGGTTCATGATCACTGATCAGACAGTCTAATCATTTGTGATTAATTTAATTACTAATGAAATAATTGATGTCTCAATCACTCAGCATCTTCCTAAGTCAATGAGCTATGTTTTCCAATTATTATTGTTTTAGGCCACTTGCCAATCATGAAACATTGATGATTAGTGAATTAATTGATAAAATTTTCCATACAATGCTGTAACTAGGAACTATATGGTACAAATTGTGTATATATAATGCACTTTTTTTTTTCAGTAAGTCTTGTTCTACAGATTGTTCTTTATTCATAGTTATAGTTCTTTTTCCCTTTTATTTTCCTCTTTTTCATATCTGAACTCACATTCGGGCGACCAAATTACTCAACCAAGCCTTTTCCCACTATTTGGTTACTTATTTAGACCAAAAATAAATAATAAATAATGTAATAGCTTATGGCAGTGCAGTTGTTTACACAGAGGAAGCATCAGGTTGGATTTTTCTTGGGAGCAAACAATTCATTGAGCGGGTGTACGAGTATAAACTATATATATATATATATATATATGTGAATTATTATTAACGTGCGTACCAACACTTCTATGCTTCCGAACATAATACAAGTCTTGAATCTTGACAAGTATGTATCGGAGATGAATCCTCCAAACAATGGTAGTAAAAATGCAGTCCCCATAAAATTTGTAAGCGTCGTGGCCGATTTTGTCAAGCTGAAATTCATGAATCCGCTGAAGTAAGTGACGAGGCTCATGGCGTTGGCGATGAATGCCATGTTCTCAAGTCCCTCCATAGCTGCATATGAATGAGTAACACCAAGAACAATCAAAAACATATTAACCCTATTTCATCAATATACATTTATTGTACATATATAAAACTCATAAGACTTGTCATATTCATTACAAACCTATATAGTTTTAGATTAGAATTTAGTAGAATATATATATATACTAGTTACCATATACAAAGAGAGTAGCTCTAGTTCCTCCTAGCTTTGGTGGTTGTTTAGGTTGCTTTTCAACATCTCTGCAAATGCCCTGGTTATTATATAGTCACACAAGAAACTGGTTAGCCAAATATAGTAATAGTAATAGTATTGATATATATATGTACACTTTGAAGAAATTAAAAGAGGAAGATAAAGCAATTAATGTATCATATATAGAGTTATATTAAAGAAACTATTGGTTCTTCTCATCTACGTACGGACGGAGAATTAGTTCTACAATACCCTAAGAATACCCACGGGGTCTTTCAATCATTGGATCATTCATCAGGTAGGCTCCAGCACCACATCCAACATCGGAAAGACCCGAAGTTACAGTACCCGGAGTATTCTAGAATTATCCCTACCAAAGGTGGCATATATTCATGACTCAACTTAGGCCATGTATATATGTGATTGTTTCCACCTTTTTTCTGCGAACTTGAGGTTATATTTTTCTAGCAAAGTGATTACCATTTTTGTGGAGAGAGCTTTCTTGTGTGACCCAATAGGAGGAGCTGAATGATGCTAACAGAATGTGAGGATTAGAATTGTATGTGTGAGTTTATATAGCAACAGATACAACTTTGCCACATAAACTGCCAAAGAATACCAAAAGGAATCAAATGGCATCTGTATGTTTGAAAAACATTGTGGGTTATTAAGTTCTTTTTGTTTCTTATGATTGGAATATGTCACTCTCATATTAGTATACACATGCCTGACGTGTGTGCTTTGACTTTATTAGCTGAATTAATTATTGTTAGTTGGAAATTGTTGGTTTGTTCATTCAATGATTTTGATGCAACTCTTCTTTGCAAGTTGAGATACATTGGAACTAATAGGCCAATAGTTGTTTAATTTATACTAAATTGGAACAGTAAGTTGGGCTGCAAGTCATTTTCCCTCTCCACCATCTAGTGACTTGGGTACCTAGTTGATATAGAGTTTGACGGTGGTAATAGTGTGATAAATAGTACTATCTGTGTCCCACAAAAAATGTTCTGTTTGGGGAACTGTGACCCCAAACAGGACATCTATTGTGGGACATGAGTCACGATTTTTCAAATAAGACATCTTTTGTGGGATAGAAAGAGTACGGTAATAGTGCTACAAATACTGTAATAATAAATGAGAATCGTGTGTGGGGTGTGTAATAGTGTGATTTGTGTGTGGGTGTTGTAAGACTTAAGGTAGAATAAAAGTGAGGTAGGAAATGAGGTTTGAAAAAAGAAAAAGTAATGCATGTGTTTCATGGGGTTGTGTAATAGTTGTGGAGAACATATGGCCCATAACTATATATGTGAAGGAAGAAAATGAGTGGTATCCTAGGTGTGTGAAGATATATATATATATATATATATATATATATATATATATACACGTGGTAAAAGTGAAATGAGGGGCAGGTTGAAAAGTAGAGTCTGGAACACTATCGAAAGAAAGAAAGAAAATGGTGAAGGAATAACAGTACTAGAGGCCTGAGATTTAAAAGGAAAATTGGTGCCATGGCAGACAAAAAGGAAGTTAGCGGAAAAGTTTGAAGAATTGAGTTTGGCGACCAACTTTGGAAATTGAAGTGAAGTAAAAAACGCCTCATACATTTATTGTGTTGTCTGTTGTAATTCATTGTAAAATAATATGAGCTTGAATCAAAATAAATGAATCCCATCTTGAAAATGAAAATTGAGTATTTATAACCCTTGTTGACTTGAGAGCTTTTTGTCACGATCCGATTCCTAACGACGCCATGAGCATAGAAGATACGCATGCTGGTTGGCTAAGAACATTCATTGACTGGGAATGGTTCCAGGGAAGGGGCGTGCAGGACCACAGGATGGTACCTCTTCAGAGTTCAGGCAGGTCGACTCGGTTCAGTTCGAGGTGCTTGTCGCTAGTCTTGGACTTGACTATGAAGAAGGGAGTTGGCCATCCCTGCACAAACTGGTCGGGAGCTGGAGCCGTTCCCCTGACGAGGCCATGGCAGGCCGAAACCAGTCAGCATGTATCCTTGGGAGGGCAGGTCGTGGTGGCTGACCAGGGCGCTTGCGCGAGCTGAAGCAACGCCTTGGTGCCGCACGGGCCGTGCCGCTGCGCCAAATCTCTAGGCCCGTGACAAATGGTATCAGAGCAGGACTTGGGGAAAAGCACAAAGGTGTGCCCCCTTGTCGATCCGGGGGTCTTGAGAATGAAGACGGTGCACTGAAAAAGCGTCGGTGGGTAATCAATGCTGTTGGAGTAGAGCCTCCATCTCCCCATGAAGATGCGTCCTTTAAGCCGGAAGGCCGCGCGCATCGGATGGCCGGAGGGCCGCGCGCACCAAAGTTCTTGCAAGTTCAAGAGGCGTGCAAACCGTTGTGAAGGGCGGGTATCAAGTCAGCCGGAGGGCGCTTGTTTGCTCGGGGTGTCGCGGAGGCGGCATAACGTGGGGTTGCGTCCCGAAGAAGTGGGCGTCCCTTTAGCCCGAAACCCTATCATTGGGCGAGTGCAGCCAGGGGTTGTACAAGGAAGCGATGGTGGGCAGGCGAGCATACCACTTGGAAGAGAGAGACTTTGGAATGTTGGACGCAGCGGAGTCAGCGCCGCACTGCGACGAGGGCGTCGCAGGATTTGGGTGGGGGAGAATGTCACGATCCGATTCCTAACGACGCCATGAGCATAGAAGATACGCATGCTGGTTGGCTAAGAACATTCATTGACTGGGAATGGTTCCAGGGAAGGGGCGTGCAGGACCACAGGATGGTACCTCTTCAGAGTTCAGGCAGGTCGACTCGGTTCAGTTCGAGGTGCTTGTCGCTAGTCTTGGACTTGACTATGAAGAAGGGAGTTGGCCATCCCTGCACAAACTGGTCGGGAGCTGGAGCCGTTCCCCTGACGAGGCCATGGCAGGCCGAAACCAGTCAGCATGTATCCTTGGGAGGGCAGGTCGTGGTGGCTGACCAGGGCGCTTGCGCGAGCTGAAGCAACGCCTTGGTGCCGCACGGGCCGTGCCGCTGCGCTAAATCTCTAGGCCCGTGACATTTTGCTCTGGCAATATGATCTCCGTGACCGTGTGAGATTGTATTGTTCTATCATTTCGCCTCCGCTACGTCAGAGTTATTCTTTGATCCTGTTACAAGATATATTAATTAAATCAAACTCATTCCAATATTGATGAGTTTAGGAAACCATATAATATACAAATGCAAGAATTAAACTAAATATAATGTCGCTCGTGTATTACTAAACGACTTAAACCATTGACAAGGAGATATCATTAAATTACAACTTTTTAGGGTATCATAATTTTAAATTAGTCATTACAATTTTTAATGAGTGTGGCTTTCGTACCCATTATCCGACAAAGTAGGAACAATCTTGTTATGAGGCTTACGACTCTATTTTCTCGAGTGGAATATATATACAAGGAAATTTATTAACAAAAAAAAAAAAAAAAAGTGTAGTAGCACCTGTGGTGCAATCCTTTTCCATATAACATGATCGGTCTAATTGTGTTGCAGTCCTTTATATCAATTTTACTTGAAGAGTGATGCTATTCTAATTTAATTAAGAGTAGCAAGCACGGTTATTCAACCCTTAGATGCATTCAGTGAGACACAATGCATCTACGAATTGTTTCGGAGAGAATTTCGGTGAAACTACCATTCAGTTTTTAAATGCATCTAGTGAGATGCAATGTATCTAAAGACTGTCTCGAATAAAAACTCGGTGAAGTTAACCATGTGAAGATGTGAACTACCTCCAAATAGACAAAAAGAACCCATGAAGCCTTGCTCTCTTGTATTACCTTTGGGCCATTCAGTTTATTTTTTTTATTTTTGTATTTTTTTATGACAAAACAAATACAAAATTCGTATTTAAAAATGAAGAGATTATACCATTAAAATAAAAATCCTTTGATCGTTTGGTCCATCATTTAGCTGAAACCTAAATGTATGTATATATTTATGTGCAATGCATGAGGTTGAAGGACACCATTATAAGCGGGCCCCAAGTGAAATTGGGTATAGAGTTAGTTATCTACCAAATGATCCATTGACCAACATTATTGTGTGCTTAGCCACTTACACAATTACCTGTGATCACAAAAACTAGAGGAAATTGGGCGCACAACATTACAATTCATAGGCACTTTTATGGATTATCTTTTTCCAATTTAATACTAACTTGCCGGCGGGAAGGTGGGGTTTTTTTTTTTCTTTCTTTTTCTTCTCTCTCTATATATATTATAATATATTATCTGTCTCTAAATAGTATATAGTATACAATATATATATATATATATAGGTATGGCGTGCTTTAGTGACGCAAGGACTTTTATAACATAAGTCCGATTTATAAAAATAAATAAATAACAAAAAAATCAAAACTGCTGGCCTGTAGTTGGTTGATTGACTAAAGGAATCTTTATATATGTGACGGTTGACCGTATGAGTGAGTAGTGTGTACGACATTTTCCTAAACATTCTCATTAGTTGAAACTAAAAATTTATATATAATAATAATTTAAAATTAAAATACTTGCAATATATGTATTATTTGTAAAGAAAATCTTATTAATAATAGTTCATTGCAATTCATAACTTTTCTAATGACCTAAAACCTTAATTGGGGCCAGTATATACATTGAAGAATTATAAATAATTTAGTTGGGGCAGTCTTAGAATATTAATGAAAATATAGGTATATAATGAAAATTTTTAAAAAAAAAATCAATAACGTAATTACGATTCCAATTCGATAACCCGTTAATCGAATAACAATTCGATAATAATTCAATCCAAATAAAATTATATATATAATAATAATATTTTATAATATATAAATATATTAAAACTTCTATCATATTTGAATAAGATGTAACCAAAAACAAAAACAAAAAAATAATGCCGTATTTTCACACACACGTACTAATAAATCTCCTAATATACATACTAATAATGTCATAATATTTATTTATTAACAAACAGTAAATGAGTTTTTCTTCTCTTTTCCTTCTATATTTTATTTATCTTTTGTTTTCAAGCATTTTTTTTTCTAATTAATGTTTTTTTATTCTCTTTTGACATTAATTTCTTCTATTTTCTTTTCTTAAAAAAAAAAAAAACTACACCTTTATTGGATCAAATCGGATATTTGTTTATTAACAAATCGAATATGAATTCACTTACAAAAAATCAGTTGAATTATAGGATCGAATCGAGTAAAAAGCTTATCAGATTCGAATCAGATCAGGCCAAATCCTGACAAAAGTGTCTTTTTAAAATAAAAAAAAATCTCAGCATGATGTACAAGTTATTGTTGTAAAATGTAACATGCAATTATATAGAATATTTTAGCCAATTTTACAATCTCTACTGGTTATTTATATATTTTTATTTTTATTTTTTATATATATACTGAAAAGTAAGTTAAGCAAGTATATTACTTTTCAAAAAAATATATATATATATAAAATAAAAAAAATTAAACGAATATATTAGGCTATAACCTAATGGTAGAATCCGAGTCCTAAAAAGACA